TCAGAATAACTAATTACCCTAATTTTCATTATATTTCACTCTGAGTTAGTTAAGCAATAATGTTGATATTTCTGCATAGCTGAACATAAAGACCACTAACACAGTTTTCAATTCCCTAGTTTTTGTAAGCTTCATAATAACATCTTTTACTACCCAAATAAGTCAGCATTGAGGTTCTGTCTCTCCAGACTTTAAATCAGGTACCTATTTAGGTCTCTTTCATTACTTGACAATTAAGAGTCTGCATTATTCTGAATGGGTAAGAACACAAAATTTCTGCCTAGAACAGGTTTTTAAGTAGAAAACAACAACAGAATCCACAGACTAAATGATCTTCAAAGTAAGTTGAGCGAACAGCATACATACATTGAGGTCACCTACCTTCTTTCACAGCACCTTTGACCGTCCAATTTAAAACTATAGGGTAAAGAAATATAGGGTCTTCTGCTCCTGAGAGCTCAGCAGTAGCATCTAAGGTTAAAAAAATAATAAGTTGCAGGTTCTGTTAAACATCAATAACCAAATAAATTGGAAAATTCTTTGGAGGGGATGAAAAACAAGAAAATACCCAAGTATCCTTTCTAAATTATGTGCCCTAAAAATATCAATTATATCATATTTTGGAGATTCATAAATAACCAATAATCTCAATGGTTTTTCTCCCTAAAAGCCAAAAAGTCCGCTACCAAATAAGTGAAGAGTTTACAAGGCATGAGTCTCTCTTATTCAACAGCTGTCGTATAGCAGCAAACCCCAGACTCAGAAACATACCAATTACATTAACTCCATTTTTATAAAATTATTATTAAAAGACAGTAAAGTATAGGACAATGAACAGCACAGCCACTGGAGCCAGGCTTCCTGGGTCAGATTCTAACCCTGACGCTTTTTAGTTCTGGGACCTTGGGAAGTCACTCAGCTTCTCTGTGCCTCAGTTTCCTTATCTTTAAATTGAGGATAATAATAATACCTTCTTCATATATTTTTTCTGTAAGTATTATATGAGTTCTAATATGTATAAAACACTACAAGTGGTTTCTGGCACACAGGAAGCGCAAAGTATAAAACTATTATTTTTATTATTGTTTTGTTATTGAATCTACTATTTAGTTAGCAAAATTAGTAACATTACATTGTGCTTCTTAGGAAAATGTGAGGGGTTTTGGGATAATATGAAAACAAATAATTCATATTTCTAGGACACTGTACATTTTAAGGAATTATGTTATTTTATAACTAACCAGACAATTACATAGTTTCCCAAAACTATGTTTACTGGTTTTATGAATAATGGAGCATTTGGTTCAATTCATAAATTCAGCTTGAAACAGACTTGGAGCATGATGAAATACAATGAGAGATGCAAGTCAGAGAATTCCAAAACATTCCAACCAGCCAGACCTAACTGAGACACAGTAAGAGGTGTGAGTTCCGCAAGTATAGTCAGTTCCCAAAACACCAAGTGGCCAAAAGTGGAGTCTCCTACTTAAGAGACATTTAGGTACTCTCTTGTTCTTCTAGAAGATCTGAAGTACTTGTTTTTAAAAAATGTGATAACACTTACCATCACCAGAAACTAAATCAATTTCTTAAGCAAATTTCCAAACTGCAGACTCCAAAATTCCTATCCTTGTGTTAACATATGGATCCATTCTGAAATTACTACCTAGCATGATGACCTGAAATTAAACTAATCTCTCACTTCAGTAGACCGTGGTTCAGATCACTCACACATCAACCCGTGATGCTATCTCTTTACCTCTCAGTTACACTTTTGCCTGTAGAGCAGTGATTCTCTATTTTGCGCTCTCCCTCCCCAACACACTTGGCAACATTTGCTTCCCAGTTCGTTGCCAGAGCTGGGAGAATGGTGTGCTATGAATCTCTGGACAGAGGCCAGAGATGCTGCTCAACCTCCCCAATGCTTAGGACAATCCCCCACAACAAAGAGTTATCTGGCCCAGATTGGCAATCGTGTCAAGGTTGAGAAACCCTGCTTTAGAATCAGAAGATTTAGGCTCCAAGCCAGCTATGGAATCCTAAATAAATTATTTAATCTTTATGAGTCCTATCTGTGAAAAGCAGTTTGCAATCCCTTATTAACAGAGTATTGTTAAAATTAATGACATAATATAAAAGGGTTTACCAAAGGCTAATCTCTTCATGCTTTTAACAAAATATTTTCTTATTTTAAAAAACATAATGCTAAACAGAAGTATATAGAAAGAAAAAAATGACTACATTGCTTTGTCAGTTTGAGAAGGTGTGTTTCCAACAAGGCTAGCTGCTCATTTATTTTTTCAGGTGACAATATCTGCTGCAGCCTCTTAGTCTTGGAAAACTTCTTAGCAGAACCCTAGAAACATTGGTGAAATGTCAGAATGTACTTCAACACGTTTCAACAGTTGTCATTTTCAAATAGCGTTCTTCAAATTATGTTTTCATACTTGGTAAACAAAACTATGATCTACATGGTTAAATAATACAAAATTAATAATTAATAATAACAGTCATTGTGTTCTAACTAAACATCAGACACAGTATTCAGCATTTTATGGAAGTTGACCAAAATACTTCTCTCTCCCTTCTTCCCAGTAAATTCCACCCCTCCTAAAGAGCACCCTGGGACACACACACTCCCCTGAAAGCAAGCAATTGAGGGTATGTCTCTAAAAATCCTCAAAAGAAAATTCCCAGCATGCCCTTAGAAATGTATCACGTTTTTTCTTTTCTCCTTTATTTCAGAAGGAGCTTCTTTACAACTAAGCTAATTGCCTTTACTGCTTTGCCTTTCATTGAAACATAACAGGATCAGTAATTAGTGAATTAAAAATGGGTGGGTCTGTGTGCAAGCTCCCCACCTTCATTCAGAACTGACCAGTCAGTGTCGCTTGTTCTGAAAAACAAAACAAAAAAACCTCCCAAGTTTTTTAGGCGTAAGGCGGCCTTGAGAGTCTGTAATGATTTCTGAATCCTATAAATTAGCGTCTCAGTCCCTACAGGCTTAGTTCGAAGGAAGTATCACCACCTTCTGCTGGACCAGAGGCTCCAAGGGAAAAGGCATGCAGCCCTGTGCTACATTGCTATGCGGGGACATGTGCCAAGTTAAAGCCCGGGTGATATAAAAGGGCTGGCTGATGGACTCTGAGCGTGAACAACACTTGGTGGAAAAAAAAAACGCTGAAATTGCTTCCAGCTTAATCAAAACTCTCTCCAGAGAAAACAATCCCCCTCAATAAAAAAAATTTAAAAAAAGTATTATGGCTAAAAAAATTCATCCAGTAGAACACTGCTGATATTTGAAGCTTTTTGTGGCAAACAAATACTCACTTGGAAACTCAACATATAATAGAAATAGAAATGGAGCTATTCCAACTGAAACAGGCTGGGGGGGGCGGTAATAATCTCTACCCCACCTCAGTCACTGAAGGGGCTTCAAGTAATTCCTAGTGCACCTGAGAAACCTGACCAATGGAGCAACAGTGCAAGATTTGATCTACAAAAAAATGTAACCACATAGTTTCTAAGAAAGGCAATAAAACAGGTTCTAGTAAGACCCATGCCTGGGAGGCAGATATTAAAAAGTAGTCTCAAACATTAGCAGTCTCACAAAGACAATTTAGGTGTGACCATGAGTTTAGGAAATCTACTCTGAATACAATGAAAAGCTCTGATAAGGGTTCACTACAGTCAGTGACCCACCCAGAATAATAAAATCTGGGAGAGATTTGGAAGAGACTTCACAGGGCTTTTAGTCCAATGTCCAACTGGGTATAGGACGTTCTCTGTCAACCCCTAACTGATGGCAGCATTGGTGATAGGGAACTAGTCAGTATTCTAGCATGAATTCCTTTTCATTTTTAAAATCACAATTAAAGGAAAGAGGAAAAAGAAGAAGCTCTTCACTATATATATCTTTCCTTTATGTAAATATGACAAATCAAAAACTGATCAATTTTCTAATATGTTTACTAATACTACATGACCTCTTAAAAAACTCAACTAAATGTAAGCTTAAAGATGGGAAAAAAAAAGTAATTACCTCCTCTTGTATTTCCTCTTGGTCAGTAGTACAAAGCAGAGACTGGCATCCTAATGTGATGTCCAACATCTTTTTTCCATAATTTATAATAATTACTGCCAGGTCGTATTCCTTCCATGAACGCAGAATCTAATTTAAAATATTTATTAATTATCTCTGTTGGACACTCTTGTCTATTCTCAAGTGTCTTGCATCACCTTTCATAAACTCAAAAGTTCCATTAATGTTTTGGATCTAAGAATTCCCCTGTTTCTGTTAAGGAAATTGGACGCTTACCTCCAGATCACATTTCCTAAAAAATAAAACCGCATGATTCCACTGCTTTGAATAAAGGACAAATAACAGGAATCTCATCAATAATAAATTCCCCATATCTCGGGGACATAGAGCCGTACATGTTTTGGCATACTAAGTTAGCTAAGAAAATATTTCCACTTAAAAGATTTGTGTTAAAACAAAATCATTTTTAAAGACCACATAACCACCACCTCTTGTCTTGAGTGGCTTTTTATGTGAAATAGCACAATTGCCGACCTCATGGTGTTTTGGCGTGGAGGCGGGGGTGTGTGGCATTTATATCAGTAAATGATTTACAAGGCATTCTGGGAGTGAACTGAACTAGAGTTAAGCTGTTTTTGGCAGATTCTCCGAGAACCCCAGGGGAAGCAGACACTGTAATCATTAGAAGGGGAGTAGCCGGCTCTGCCACTCTTATCCACAGTCTCGGTTACTAATTGTTATTCTTTGCCCTCCTCCAGCCTGCCCGTTGCCTACCTCTCTAGCGTAATCTTTTCACCACTCATCTCGTTGTACTTGAAGTTCACAAAATATTTAGCCAAGTGCAAATTCTGACACTCGCCATGGCTTTAGGATTTCATGCCTTCCTACAGCTGAGCCATTTCCCAGGACAGCTTTCCCGCCTGATTTATGTTACTCCACCTGGTCATTAAAACCTGAGCTCTAGCATCAACTCCCGGAGTGCTTCTCTGACCAGCACTCTAATTTGCATAGAGCCTGCTGTAGTGAAGGGTCACATGAAGGGGACACATTCATTGTGAATCCCACAGGGAAACATTCTAAGGGCATTCTAAGGGTATGAATTTGTTATATGTAGATGTATCCAGTTAAGTCAAATAAATTAGTATTTAAGGTAAGTAACAACTGTTGCCTCCCATGTGGGGAATGGATATAATAAGATGGCTGAAAAACAGTGAGTAGCTGCTTAAACCTGATAAGACCGGCCTAATGCAAGGTGCTAAGAACTAGAAATAATCTCTGTGGGACCAAGGAAATAGTTTTAAACTAATGCTGACTATGGAATAGAGTGTGGAAGGGAAAATGGTGAAATAAAATTTGAAAAGGTAAGTGGGGTTAGTTATGCAGGGCCTTGAATGCCAGGCAAAACAGTCCAATCTCATCATAAAATTGATACAAGAGGGAGCAAGTTTTGTCATTAGAAAACAGAAATGAGCTAATGTTTGCTCTTGACTCAACTTTGCTTTCTGACATATTTAGGTCCTAGGCTTATAGAATACTATGTAATCTTTTCCCCTTGTTATAAGATGCCAGTATAAAACAATAAGTGATAAAGAACTGTTCCAATCAAAAGAAAGAGAACCAATTCTACTTAACATACCAAATGGTGAACATAAATAAAAAGACTATGCCAGGTGTTCAGCATAATAATTCTTTAACAATGCAAAAATAAAGAAACATTTAAGATGATGTGTCTCAGTATTTGGAATTCTGGCAACTTTTAGAAAAAACTACTGCACTTATAGAAGAAAGCCTGAGCCATCTGAAAAGACTGCCATTTTTTTTTTTTAACAGAACAGAGAAAAGAAACAGAGTCATTTGATTAATTGGGCTTTACCTATCTTAAGAGAAAATCCATATAAAAATGTGTTTAGGACTTCTGGTCAAGATGGCAGAGTAGGTAAACACTGAACAAAGCTCTATTGTCTAGAGCTTTGTTGATTTCTTTTTCAGAACTAAACAAAATGGAGACAAGCAATCTACCAGACGCAGTTCCAAACACTGAATATAAGGATGTTCAATGATCTCAGGGAGAACTTCAAAAAAGAGGTAGGAAATATAAAAATGGAGATAGAAGGGCTGGATGAGTGGCACTTTGGTTAGGAGTTGGCTTGGGACGCCAGCTCTGACCAGTAGGGCCCCGGTTCGGATCCCACATGAGGGCCAATGATGCTGTGCGCCCTCTACAGCTAAGATGGTGAACAACATCTCCGCCTGGAGCTGGGCTGCCATGAGTTGCTGGCGACAGCGTAGGCTGCCGTGGGGCTGGCTGGCAGTGGCCATGAACTTTCGTGAGCTGCTGTGAGTAGCAGTGAGCAGCCGTCCAATGGTTGGCGAGCGACTGCCTCACCCGGGAAGAGCGTAATGATAATACCAACATGGGCCAGTGAAGTCATGTTCTCCACAATTAGACTGAAGAACAAACGGACAGCAACTTATCTGTTCCCCTTCCCCAATTCCCCAACGTTGTTCCCCTCCCCCAATTCCCAATAAAATCTCTAAAAAAAAAAATGGAGATAGAAAACATAAAAAAGAACCAGTCAAAAATAAAGACTACAATAACTGAAATGAAGAATACATTACAGGGAATCAACAGTAGGTTAGATAAAGCAAAGGACTGAGTCAGTGATTTAGATTTTAAGGTAGTAGGAAACACCCAATCAGAACAGCAAAGAAAAAATACTCCAAAAAAATGAGGATAGTTTAAGGGGCCTCTAGGACAATGTCAAGCATGCCAATATTTGCATCATAGAAGTACCAGAAAGAGAAGAGAGCAAGGAATTGAAAATCTGTTTGAAGAAATAATGACTGAAAACTTCTCTAACCTGGTGAAGGAAATAGATATATAAGCCCCAGAAGTGCAGAGAGTCCCAAAGATGATGTATCCCAAGAGGCCCACACCAAGATACATCATAATTAAAATGCCAAAGGTTACAAAGAGAGAATCTTAAAAGCAGCAAGGGAAAAGCAATTAGTTACCTAGAAGGGAGCTCCCATAAGACTATCAGCTGATTTCTCAACAGAAACTTTACTGGCCAGAGGGATTGGCAGAAAATATTCAAAGTCATGAAAAGCAAGAACCTACTAACAAGGTTACTCTACGCAGCAAAACTAACATTTAGAATCAAAGGACAGATAAAGAGCTTCCCAGACCAGAAAAAACTAAAGGAATTCCTCGCCACCAAACCAGGAATGTTACAGGAAATTCTTTAAGACAAAAAAAAAATTTTTTTTCAAAAATATAAAGAATAAAATGGCAATAACTACATATCTATCAATAATAACTTTCAATGTAAATGGAATAAATGCTCCAATCAAAAGATAGGATGGCTGAATGGAGGAAAAAACAAAACCCTTACATATGCTGCCTACAGGAGACACACTTCAGATCAAAAGACACACACAGACTAAAAGTAAAGGGATAGGAAAAAGATATTTCATGAAAAAGGAAACAAAAACAATAAAAGCTGAGGCAGCAACACTTGATTCAGGCAAAATAGACTTTAAAACCACATTTTGATGGTTGCCAGATTGGGGGAGGGGGATCAGGGTCAGGTGAAAAAGAAGGGATTAGTTATAAATTGGTTGTTACACAATAGTCATGGGGATGTAGAGTATAGCATAAGGAATATAGTCAATAATGTTGTAATAACTATGTATGGTGTCAGATGGGCACTAGATTTATTAGGGTGATAGATGGGGGTTTTGGGAGACGGAGTGAAAAGGTGAAGGCATTAAGAAGTAAAAACTGGTAGTTATAGAATAATCATGGGGATGTAAAGTAAAGCACGGGGAATACAGTCAATAATATGGTAATAACTATGTATAATGTCAAGTGGGTACTAGACTGGTCAGGGGGATCACTTCTTAAATTATATAAATGTCTAGCCACTATGCTGTGCACTTGAAATTAATATAAAATAATATTGAATGTCAACTGTAATTAAAAATTTTTAAAGGGGGGAAAAGGTAAAGGAGAATAAGAGGTTCAAAATTCCAGGTATAAAACAAATAAGTCATGAGGATGTAATTAAAGTACAGCATAGGGAATATAGTCAATAATATTGTGATAGCATAGTATGGTGTCAGATGGTTGCTGGACTTATCACAGTGATCACTTCTTTAGGTACATAAACGTTGAATAACTATTGTGTTATTATATACCTGTATATAGTATATACCTGAAAATAATATAATATTGTATGTTAGCTATATTTTAACAAAAATATTTTTTTAAATGTGTTTATATGAAGTGAGCACCCAAATCTGGGATTCAGGGCTAGTCCAAGGTTCTGGGACTGCTGGTCGTGCTGGAGGAAACGTCTGAAATGACTATTTTCAGCATATCGATTTGGGACAGAACCACCACTAATAGCAAAATCTTGATATTATAACAATACAGTAATACCTTGGTTTGCAAGCATAATTCACTCCAGAAACAAACTACTTGTATTGTAGGACATCACTCATTTACCATGTTAAAATGTATTAGAAATGTTTGCTTGTCTTGCGGAACACTCACAAACCACATTACTTGCAATCCAAGGTTTTACTGTATATACTGTTTAAAAATGTCCAGAACACATTCTGAGTCATTTGTACAATACCATCACTTGAATCTCAATATAATTCCGCAAACGGAGTGAAGGAGAGTAGGGTCATGGATAGCATATGAAGAAATGCACAGCCAGCCCCAAGCTGTTTTGTGCTACGAGGGAAAAAAATCTCAGGAGGCCAAGAGAGAAGGCATCCCAGGACTTCACCTCCGCTGTACCCCAAATGCTGGTTGGAAATTCTATTCTAGGACAGTGCTGTCTCCCATTTTCCACAGGGGCTGTCGCCAACCCTCCTATTCTTCTCAAATGTCTGAAACCCACCCTTACTCTTCACCTTCTCACTCAGCAAATGACCTTGCTTCCTTTCCACAGAGGAAATGTAAGGGATCTCGCTTATCTCCAATCCACAGACCTACCTACACATTACCTACCTGCAAGTACAACCATCCTGTCCCCCTATGGGAAGGGAGAGGTGAATCTCCTGTCCAGGCTAACCCCTCCCATATGTGCTCAGATTCCATTGCCTCCTGCCTTCCC